GCAATTTAGCAAGGTGCTAAGCAACTCAGTCTCAAAATAAAAAACAAAAATGGCTGGGAGCTGTGGCTCAGTGATTAAATGCCCCTGAGTTCAATCCCCAGTACCAAAATAAATAAATAAATAAAAAGCGTGTTATATATATATACACACATACACACACACATATAATGGAGTTTTATTCGGCCATAAATAAAAATGAAATTATGTCATTTGCCGGAAAATGGATGAAACTTGAGACCATTACATTAAGCAAAATAAGCCAACTCAGAAGGTAAAGGGTTGGATGTTTTCTCTTATAAGTGGGAGCTAGAGAGGAAAAAGGAAAAGTATGTGTGTGTGTGTATGTGGGGGGACTCATGAAAATCAAAGGGACATCAGTTAGAGAAAAGGGACCATGGAGTGGGAAGCAGGGAGGGAGGGCGAAAGTGTTGGGGGAATGTGGCTGGACAGATTATATTGTTACATTGTGTGCATGTATGAATATGTAACAAAAAGTTCCATCCTTATGCACAACTACAATGCACCAATAAGGAAATGTGGAAAGAGTAAAAAATTTTTTCTTTACCTGAATTATTTGAGATGGCCATTAGGGCAAGTGTCTGGTCATTTTCCTTATCCAGCTAGCTTACTGGAATCAAGTGAAAGAGAGGGAGAGGGAGAGAGAGAAGGAGAAACCTGATTTCCTTCCCACTAACTCTTCCCTCTAAATCCTGGTGGTCATACAGTGGGCAAAAACAAACTTCGAACCGTAACCTTAGGACTTAATGTTCACCCTGCCTGGGTTTTTGTGCCACTTTGGTTGGATCCCTCCATATTAATACTCCATTTTTTCTTCCTTTTGGAATAGGAGTGTTTACCCTATGCCATTTTATCTTGGAAGCATAAAATTTGTTTTTGTTTTGTTTTGTTTTGTTTTACAGATGATCACAAACTCTTGTTTGCCTTGAGTCTCAAAGGAGATTGTGGACTTGGACTTTTGAGCAATGCTGGAACAGCATTTTGATATCTTGGAAATAGACTAACTGCATTTTACATTAAGAGATGGACATAAACCTTTGGCAGCAAGGCATAATCTCCTATTTTTTTAGATAAGTGCTCTCTAAACTCACACGTTTTAAAGGGATGGTCCCTGCCTATCGCATAATTGGAGGTGGTAGAACCTTTAAAAGGTGGAGCCTGGAGGGAGGTTTCCCAGTCATTGGGAGTGCACCTTGAATAAGGTATTGGAACCCCAGGCCCTTCTCTGCTTCCCTTCTGCCATGAGCTGAGCAGCTTCCTCCACCACATGAAAACTCCATAACTATGATGTATAATAAATCTTTACTCTATTTTAGTTGATTATCTCAGGTATTTGTTACAGTAATGGAAAGTTGCTTTATAATGATATTATGCTACATCAATATAGCTTTTCCTGTTTATCATTAATTATGCATTAGCTCTAGACTTTGTGTCCTTAATTACTATTCTAAGTTCTGAAAATTTTCTTTCCATAAGCCACATTGTATCATCACTCTTTTTTCCACTCTTTATTATTGAGTCCTTTTTAGGTATTTTATGCTGCCGAGGATCTGTGAAGAACTTTCTATTCAGGTTGATTTTCTTCTTCCATTGCTTGTCTTTTGGACATGACATTTTTGCAAGTTATGTATTACATTCTAATTCCAATTTCATAGTATTTTTTCACTTTGTTTTGTCATCATATTCATGACTGAGTAATTCATTTCTACCAGTTATGTATTTCTTGAATATATTGTGGCTGGTGAGATGTCTGCCTGGGACTGGGCTTGAACTTCTTGATATTTTCTAAGGAGGTGAGAGAGGGTAAATATGACAATAGATATTGTAACAGCATATTTTCTGTGAGTGATCCTTCCTCCTTTTTGGAAACAACATTTCCTTTTATATCCCAATATCTCTTGATAATATTGTCAGGTTAAAGAAGGCCGGGCGCTGCTGCCAGTACATACTGTTGTGTGATGTGTCTGGTGTATATCCTGGTAGCAATCGTTGGCTTGGGACATGGTTCACCTTCTGGCTATTCCCACGGCAGTTAGTCATCTGATTCATTGCCTCTGGGTCTCCTCCTGGTGACTTCCAGAACCCTCAGGCTGAGAGCCAATCAGTGTTGCTTCCATTTCTCATGATTTTACTTTCTACACTGTTCCTAGGCAATTTAGATGGTAACTTCCTCCCGTTCCTCTGTATGTGATTTTTAGGGCTTCTTTATAATTTGTGGTCCAAAATTCTACCCTTTTGTTCTCGATAAAAGTCACGTTATCTATTTTTGAAAACAACTTTTGCATTATTTCTAGAAGTTGCACCAAGAAGAAACATTGTAAGACTTTCATATTAGAACTGACCATCATCCTGTGTTCAACTTACTAAGACAGGTACAAAGTGACTTTCTGAGTTTGCCTTGGGCTCTTTGTATGTTCACATTGCCTCCTTCCAGTCTTCTTCTCTGTTAATGATCAAACTGCAGGGAAAGGGTCTATGCCTGTGCAGAGATGCTACCAATCAACGTGTAAAGCGAGGAGCGTTTTGATTCGCTCTTTCCCTGGCAACAACTTTCCAAGTGATTTTAGCACTTGAGCCTGGAATCACAGCTTTAGTAATTCAAAACTGCTTAGGTGTAGTCACAGTACCAAGTATTACTGGGCTAAAACATGTTTCTTGTATGGAGGCCCTCAACAAAAACAGGTTTTGTTCTAAAGGACCTGCAATATTTTGCCTAAAGAAAAAGGATATTCTTTGGAGGAAGAGGAGAGCTGTGCAGGAAGGATGGTAGAAAAAGACAGAAAACACACTTGAAAACAAATGATAGCATTCCCAAAGAAATAGAAAATGATTTCTAGATGTATATATATATATATTTGGTTCAGTTCCAGGTGCTAGGGTTTGAACCCAGGGCTTTGCACATACAAGGCAAGAATTTTACCACTGAGCTACATCTCTAGCTCTCTAAAGTGATGTCTTAATAAAAGCTGTATGATCTAAGTCATAATTATAGGACTGGGCATGGATAAAATATCTTTTCCCTTTTGGCTCAGTCTTCTCCTCTCTTCCTTATATACTTAGTGCAGATTCTGAGTTATGGGCCAAAGGAAATCTGGGAGGGTCTAACTAGATACCATTTGTTCTCCCCCGGCCATGAAGCTGTCTAAAGGTTGAGAAAAGGTGCTAGTTAGTGGGAGGAAGGGTGCAGATGCAAGTTTGGATGAGGAGTAATTCAACTACTCTAAGGAAAATGTGGCAGACATCAAGAACAGAGAAAGCGGGAAATACCGGCAATGTAAGAAGGATCACTAGATCAAAAAGAGAGAGGGAGGGAGGGAGGGAGAGAGAGAGACAGAGAGAGAGAGAGAGAGAGGATATCAAGAGGGAAAATAGACACACTTAGCCTATCACTAATTAGCACAGGGGAACCTTGGTACCATGTCATCTGAAGCTGTGGCACATTACAAAGGTCTGTGCACTACTGTCACAAAGTCTCAGGAGATCAAAGCTCTTGGATAGCAAGTTACAAATCCTGGCTAAGTGAAGTAAATGAAGTAAGGGACTCTTTTTTCCCTCATAGTACCTGACTGTACAAATATAGCTCTAGGTTTCATCAAGTTCTTTCCTCATCTTATCTTGTATTATTTTTTTTTTGTTAGTGTTTTTCTTTATAGCTTCTCCCCATAGATTTGATTGATGGGCTATGAGCTTTCAGCCCCACATCAGAAAATCCCTCATCAACATCTATCTCACTAGTCTAGCTGGGCCACGTGCCAATCGTGACCTAAGCATTGGGCCAGGACCAAGATTGTTTTGAACTGGTCCTTCCTGGTTCATGTGACTCTCTGTGAAGCTCAGTAGGTATGGCCCACTCTCCACAAAGCAGCCAGAAAGGTCACTCTGATTATGGCAAGCATTGTCAAGTCATAACACTCCTCTTACCTGCCTTCATTATTTAAATTTTTCATCTCAGAATAAATTCAAAACACCCACAATGTCCATCAAGTCCCTGTTACCTGTCTGCTCTCATCTCAATCCAGTCTTCTTCTCATTCAGTTGACTCCTATCACTCTAGTTTCCTAGATGTTCCTAAAACATTCTAGGCAGCTTCCCACACAGAGCCTTTGCCTTACCTCTGCTAGGAGCAATCTTCCGCATATGTCCACAGAGCCCATTTCTACATCCTTGAGGTCTTCGTGTGCCTTTCTTCAACCACCTTATTTGGCATTGAAACTCTCCCTATACACATGCTCTACCCTTTCTTTGCTTTAGTATTTCCCACAGTCTTATTGCACTCTTACAGATTTGAGAAATGTTGGAGTTTTATTTATCTATTTATTAAATGTGTCATTATAACTTTCATACAATTGTAATATTTTGAAGGGCAAAAGTAGAATTTTTAATTAAATATTCATCTATTTATTTAATTATGGTACTAGGAATTGACCCATGACATTTTAGCATGCATTCTACCAACAAGATACACTTCCAGCCCAGTAAAATATTCATTGAGCCAATCCATCAATCAGTGAATGAATCAACATAAATCTTTGAGTACAGAAATCACATAAGATTCTGCTAAAGGGAAATTTGAGTGGGTCAAGTTCCATGAATGCCAAATACTCTACTGCAGAATTTTCCTGTTTGAATCCAGAACCATTTAGAAGCCTATTTTAAACTCAGGGTTATTTATCACCAAGAAAACCACATCTAAACTGGTTATCATTTGACTCATCATTTAATCTGGATTTCCAGTTTCTAATACTTGAAAGATGGAAGAAATGATAAGACTTTCCTGCTAAGGGTCACTGGGACTTTAGTGAATTATGAGTTTATATCACTTCCTCCAATCAAAGCAAAAACTTATTACAGATATTTGCAAGCATTATTTGTACCTACATATTTTAAAACACATTCTAGCTAAAGTTAGGCTGCTCTTGGAAATCCAAGTGCAAAAGTAGCATAATTTGGTTTTGGTTTTGTTTTTATTTTCCTTTCTTTAGGGACCATGGACATTGAAGCATATTTTGAAAGAATTGGCTATAAGAACTCTAGGAACAAACTGGACTTGGAAACATTAACTGACATTCTTCAGCATCAGATCCGAGCTATCCCCTTTGAGAACTTTAACATGCACTGTGGGGAATCTATGGAGTTGGACTTAGAGACCGTTTTTGATCAAGTTGTGAGGAGGAAGCGGGGTGGGTGGTGCCTCCAGGTCAATCATCTTCTTTACTGGGCTCTGACCACAATGGGTTTTCAGACCACTATGTTGGGAGGATATGTTTACATCAATCCAACCAACAAATACAGCAGTCATATGGTTCACCTTCTATTACAAGTGACCATTAGTGGCAAGAACTATATTGCTGATGCATCATTTGGATGTTCCTACCAGATGTGGCAGCCTCTGGAATTAATTTCTGGGAAGGATCAGCCTCAGATGCCAGGCATCTTCCGCTTAACAGAGGAGGAAGGCACCTGGTACTTGGACCAAATCAGAAGAGAGCACCACATTCCAAACCAAGAATTTCTCAATTCCGACCTCCTAGATAAGGAAAAATACCAAAAAATCTATTCCTTTACTCTTGAACCTCGAATAATTAAAGATTTTGAGTCTGTGAATACATACCTTCAGACATCCCCAGCCTCTGTGTTTACAAGCATATCACTTTGTTCCTTGCAGACCCCAGAAGGGGTTCACTGTTTAGTGGGCTTCACCCTCACCTATAGGAGATTCAACTATAAGGACGGTGTCGACCTGGTAGAGTTTAAGACTCTGAAAGAGGAAGAAGTCGAAGAAGTATTGAGAACTATATTTAATATTTCCTTAGAAGGAAAACTGGTACCCAAACATGGTGATCAATATTTTACTATTTAGGATAAGACACAAAAATCACTCTTTTTTTTTTTACTATAGGTACTTGATCCTTTAATGTATTTTTTCCAAGCATGTGGAAAAGTTTACAAAGTAGACTAATAAGCCCTTTTGTATCCATCACCCAGATCATCAGTGTTCAACTAATGAGCTATCTTATCCTCTGTACCCCCACATTATTTGAAACAAATCCTAAACATATCATTTCTCCCATAAAAAAATGAAAGCATATATACTTGAATTACTTTTTAAAGAAAGCTACACATCTTTTCCAAATTAATCATACAACATGGTTATATTGGGAAATATAGAGCTAGAAAACTCTCCAACATTGATTTATTGCTAAATTCACAGATAATTTTACTGGTAGTGAAGAGAATAGTGAGAAAATAATTTTCATTAATTTCAACCATAATATATCTAATGTCCAATTCTTACAAAATATCACCTATATGATTTAGAAGTGGAATGCAACAAAGAAAAATGAGACATTATTGGTTCTAAAAAGCCTAATAGCCCTCAAGACAAGAGTTAAATCAACAGATAGGAACATGTGATTTGGCACTAAGAGGGTGACACACTACTAATTCCTTCCAGGATTCTTACAGTCACAATCTTCTATGAACTATTTTTCTTAATGTGGAAACAATGATATTGATGTAAGTTTTAACTTATAAATTAAATGATTTATATCTAAAATTGATAAACATGTTATAAAATACATGTCATTTTAAAAAATTCATTTTCTACATAGTATAATAAAACATTGTTGACTACTATAGTGTGAATCAAAGCCTTTTTTTTTTTGGAAGTTCTAGGATATTATGGAGCTAGGTGGCTTCTGCAAAGGGGTCTTTCTTTCATCCTATTTCTTATCTCTAGTCATATTCTTTAATTTCTTTCACACTTTGCCTTAAAAGAATGAACAAAAAGTTCTTTGTATATATATCTGAGTTCAAAGCATATGAATATCAGGTACTGGATAAACCTGGTTTCTGATTCATCAAGGTTAAACAAGCTTAATAACTACATATTCAGTGCCAGAAATGGTTAAAAAAAATAGAACTGGGAATGTGTTTCAGTGGTCGAATGCTCACCTAGCATGCATGAACCCCTAGGATTGATTTCCGGCTCTGCAAAAAATAAAAGGAAAGATAGTAGGTTAATTATTTATGTGGATGAAGAAATAATTTCAGTAATAAATTCTAGGTCAGCAATTAATAACTGTTATTCCCTATCACTTAATTTCCATTTTGCTTAAAATGCTGCTCCCAAGGACAGGGAAAGATGGCACACCAGAAGAAACTACATATCATAACAGCACCCCAAGACTGAAAGAACATAGCAGTTCTTCAGTGGCAAATTGAAGCAGGAAGACAGTGGGGAAACACCGTAGAAAAGCCAGAGAGCTACAGTTTAAAAAAACAACTAACTTTTGACTCCCAAGTGGTTGACTAGGAATTCCTGCAGTTGAACTTTATTTTTTATTTTTAACACTTTGCTTCTTTTTTCTTCTTTCTTTCTTTCTTTCTGTCTTTCTTTCTTCCTTCCTTTCTTTCTTCCTTCCTTCCTTTCTTTCTTTCTTTTTTGACTCATTCATGGTACACTTGCTTTCAATGGTGAGTGCTCATGCTGTAAGTCAGTATGACACAGAAGTGACTCTACAACCCAGACTGGGGAGAAAATCGTGGCAGCCACAGCAAAAATCGAGTCTGCAAAGTGAAGAAGAGCAAAAGACACTTGCCTTTATAAGTGTGGTCTGAGCTGTGGGATAAGGAGCATGGCGACAAGGAAAGAAACTGGGAGAGATAAGAGTCAGATGGAAAGCACTGATCCCCATGCTATTGCAAGCACAGAAGAGGCTGGAGTTTAGGCAGACATATACCACTCCTCTTCCTCTACCACATGGGCTGAGGCACTCAGAATGAGGCACCCAGATTGGTGTACAAGCAGAGATGGTGAGAGGGCTGGTTAACACCCCTAACAGACTTTCACTCCCACCCATGAATACATAACAAAGCCATTTTGAGAGGTAAGTCTGCTTTGAAGTAGACAACCCTCCATTCACATAGATGACTAGGCAAGGAGGAGGTGGAGCTCATTATACAGACTCCCCTAACAAATTTGGACAATTTGGGTCAGATCTAAGAATAAACAAGCAACAGGATATCTGTGTCTCACAAAATTTCTCATAAAGAGTTTCTAAATTCACAACTGCAGGGGAAAAAAAACTCTTTAAAAAACCTCAGCAAGAGAAAAACCAAATATATTTCATTAACTACTTGAAATTAACTGTTCCTAATAGATTTCCAATTTTGTATTTTGCCAGAGTCCTATATAATTTTTGTAATGCTAATTAATTGGATCTTCTCTTGGTACTTTTTTTTTCACTTCTATCTCCATTCAGTTCCTTTCTCCTTCATCTGTTGTATTTTCCTCTTTTTAATTTCTCTCTTCCCTCCATCCACCCTTTTCTTTCTCTTTTTCTTTTTTTCCTCTATTTTATTTTTTAATCCTTTCTTCCAATTGAATTTAGTATACTATCATCAATGCTTAAATTTCACAGCTAGTCTACATTATTTTTCATTCACATTCCTCTTTTATCAACAAAGTTGTAAGGACCACTAGAAATAACTGTTACAGCAAATGTTGATATATTATTTGCTCTTAAATTACCACTACTACTGGTAGTTACTTCAAAGTGGCACTGGTGGTTGAAATTAACACTTTATGCTGATCATATTGTTGAAGCTAAGATTACACACCCACTCTGGGACTTATTATATAGAAATAACTACTCGCTAAATAACCCCCACATAAAAGAAGAAGAAGAAATCATCTAAACAGATGCTAAAATCCAAGTCCTCTGAAAACTATGAGGAAACAGGCTAATAAAAGTTTATCACTCCCCAATAACTGAATCCCTATCTATTGATGTGGATGAAATGGTAGAAAAGGATTTAAAAATTGATGGTTAAAATAACCAATAAACTAAAAAAAAAAAAACCTTAAGGAATGAATTAAGGAACAAAATAGAGGAAGAAAAGGAGTGCTTCAATAAAGACACATGCTGAGAAAGAACCAAACAGAAATTCTGGAAATGAAAGACTGAATAAATCAAATAAAACAATTTAGTTGAAAGCCTCACCATTAGATTATATCACACAGACAACAGAATCAGAAGCTTTTAAGAAAGTTGTATGTAAACATTTATTCAGCAATTCAGAAAACACAAGAACTCAGAGAAGATTAAAGGACAAATTTAAGAATCATTGAAACCAAAGAGGTATCTGAGATACATGGGTAACCTTTTTAGGGAAATAATAACAGAAAAATTTCCAAATCTTGATAATGAGATGGACACCAAGATACAGAATGCATCCCAAACTCAAAGTAGACACTATCAAAAAATAACCTCTCCCCAACACTTTATAGTTTAAGGGCCTAATATAAAGAACAAGGATAGAATTTAAAGCCTTCAAAAGGTAAACATCAGGTCATATTTGGAAATACAGCAAACAGAAGTAATTCTGATTTCCCAGCAGAAATTCTAAAATCCTGGGATATTTGGAATGATATGATACTAAGCCCTGAAAGAAAATAACTGCTAACCAAATTTGCTATATCCTGCAAGCCTATTCTACAGCCTAAAAGAATAAATAAAATCCTTTCAAGGTAAGTATAAACTAAAAGAATACATAACCACTTTTGAAGTTGGCTTTGTTGGATATGAGAGTGCTATCCCTACATGTTTTCAGGCTCCCTTTACATGGAATAGAATTTTATATCTTTTGGTTATCTTTGCCTTGCAAACAACATATAGTTGTGTCTTAATTTTTAATACACTTTGCCCGACAGGAAATGCTTGAAGAAATACTACACATAGAAGAAATTAAAAACAAACTCCAGAGCTCAAGAATGGACAAATATCATAAGAACCTAGCTAAGCAAATAAAAATAAAACATATTTCTAGATATAAATGACCTACCAAAATTGAATCAAGTTGATATAGAAAATCCGAACTTACAAATAATTAGCAATGAACTTAAAGCAGTAATAAAAAGCCTTCCACAAAGAAAAGCCCAAAACCAAGATGAATTCTATTAGACCTTTAAAGAACAATCCCAATAGTGTTCAAGTTATATCATGAAATAGAAAAGGAAGGATTCCCAAATGTATTCTATGAATTCAGTAACATTTGATATCAAAACCACATGAGGATTTTATCAAGGAAAGAAAGACCAATGTCCCTGGTAAACATAAATGCAAAAATACTCAATAAAATATTAGAATTTTTTGTGCAAAAATGCATTAGGAAAACTGTATTTCATAATTAAGTTGGTTTCTCTCCAGGGATGTAAGGATGGTTCAATATAGACAAAGAAATAAATGTAACTTATCTTTATTAGAATAAATGACAAAAATCACATAACCTTTAAATCAATGCAGAAAAAGCCTTCAACAAAGTTCATCACCCATTCATGTTGAAAACACTGAAGAAATTAGGAATAGAAGGAATTTACCTCAATATTATAAAGGATATATATATATATATATACCAATGCAATTA